ATAATAGGTTACGTGTATTGGATGTTATAGTCTGTACTTTTATTATTAGAAGAGTAATCTACCAACAACACGACACATTCTGCAATCTACACGTGCGTAATTTGACGCTAATTAATAAATCCTCAACAGAAGTCTGCAGAACTAAATGATTATGATTAAAAACAAATGAGAAAGCGACAAGTTTGCATATTATGGCAAGGATCCTATAATTAACAATTATTATATTAAGGCGGACTGTTAATCAAGTTGAACTTCTAGTTCACATTCTAGAACCTACTTCTATCACAACTACCTACACAGGGCTATAACACATTAATTTAGCTCAACAAACTGATCGTAAGACGGGAGTTGACTATTGAATGTCCGCGGAACAAACTATTTCCATCTGGTGCTCCTTTCATGGAACTGTAGGGGAATATAAACAGCTAATGAGTTGTTTGTTCAGAACTGTGAAAAAGTTTGAAAGCGTTTGAAAAAAAGGAATATAATGATATTGCTTCCTGGCGGGAAATAAATGTTATGTTTTGTTTCTGGAAGTCAGTGGAAGTAGCTTGTATATGATAATATTATGATTTCTAACTCTTCTAATCGAAAGATACACCAATATTGAATACTAAATATTGAATAAATAATTTGTTGCAGCAAATAAATTCGCTGTGTCAATGTTAAATTTTATTTATTATGTATTATAATTTATAAAAGCGCTTTCCGTAAACCTTCTCCCTATCTGCAAATCAAGCAATTTAATCAAACGAAGTTTAATGTACCGTAAACATTTATGATATATATCATGCCTCTTTACCAAGTGTAGCGATCGTAAGGTAAGCTGCAGGTCGTGGTACAAAGTAAAAAGCAGCCGATAATAAATCAGGTGACAGTTACCATAATTTGAGAACCCGACACATGTCAAATATTAGAAGTGAAGCCGACAAGGGCCGGTTACCAGATTGGAACGAGACTAATTATCCGCAACCTGCCTCTTATTATTAGGATGATTTTGATGAACCGGTTCCAGTAACGATCTCTTAGACATTCTACTTGTCAGATTGTTATTCTATACCATCGTGAGCTGCAAGCTAGTTAGTAGTTGGTCATTAGTTCACCTGTTTAGACCGCCAGTTATTGTCTGGATCATAGTACCTCTCTACTAGGGGTGGGCTTAAGGTTGAGAGGGAGGCCTTCTTGTATGGGTGGAGCTCTCAGATCCAGGAATCTGATATTATGCTCCCCGTCCCATCAAGCCACTGAATGTTATCAGCAATGTTTACAATTGTCTCCAATGATACCTCTAGACGCTATGTCGCCGGCTCACCATGCACACTCAGTGTCCTTTACACTCACTTCAGTGTGAGCTCCAATATTATCTCAGCCCTTTATCACTGATATAATGAGGTTATCTGTCTAGTCAACTTGATCTTATAAGTCGGTTGCAAGTTTAGTTTTTATTAGAACATGTGACTGGTGGTATTTATCTGTAGTTGTGCAATCAGCCAATTATAATAATAATATGTACTTATACAGTATACACTGCAAGTGCACCCAGGGACAAAAGGATTTCGCGATTATTTTGGCCAAAAATCGCGATACCGCGTAATTTAACAGGCTATACATTAAACTACACGTCATAACATTTGTCGCAAATAATGGGAAAAATCGCGATTCCGTACATGCCGCCATTTCCTTTTGGCCCTGAGTGCACCTGATATAATACTGTATATTGTGTGATAGGTGCTGCAACTAATGATGCCTTTAGAATATGTCAACATTTTAACTTGGTCAATAAAGATTGAAGGAGCTAGACTGTAAACAGTGTACAGAAACTAAACCACCTTGAAGTCTTGGAAATAAATAAAGAGTAAAATAACCATTTAAAGTAATTAAAACACAGCAAACATGGGCACGTATAGTAATTAATAGTCCTGGCAAAATATAACAATGACCGTAAAAAATAACTCATAAAAACTTAAATTCAACTTAATATAGAGAATGAAATACACAAAATCACGGTTTCAGGAAAACAATTGTGTTGTCCCACAACTTAATCTCTTACACCACATGTCTTACAATGAAATAGTTAACACTTAATTAGCACATGTAAACTACTGTAAAAGCAGGCCTTCTAACCGACAAAGAGTCTACAAACAAAGCTTTACACGTCTGAAGAACTCAATCTTCTGTATAAAAACACAATATGGATGTAAGGGGGGCCGGGGGGGGGGGGGGGGGGGGGGGGTAAGAACACGTGTTGTGTATTTAGGTGGGGGGCGGGGGATGTAAGAACACGTGTTGTGTATTTAGAGGGGGGGGGGCTGTGTACTATTCTCAAATGTACATCTAACTAGCTCAACCCAGTAAAAGAAACAACGGCGTACAAAATATAGAGAAAAGAGGGTTGAATTTTAAGTATTACCAGACACCAATTCAATCTGAGAATACAATACAAGAATCCTAGTCGGTTATATAGCGTTCTACACAGGTACCACAAACCACTCAACTAAATTTCACATGTGCGTTTCCAGGCTCCCTCAGTAATGGATTTTATAATAAGAGACTAACGACCTACTGATGGAGCTGTAAGTGGTTGCGAACATTAGGATTCTATTTACGTGTCCACGTGTTCGAAACTGGAGTGAATTAGTGAAATAAATGCTCTGCTGTTCGGATGTTAATATAGAGGGATTTCTCATCACTGCTGGGGTTTACAACTTTCTTACTGGATCATTTACAGAATTTGTGACTTTGTGATTTAAATGATATATTTATGGTACACAAACTACATGACGTGTAACTACTACAACAGCTCAGCAAGATCGATTACAGTATAGGTAACTGTTTAAATATTATAGGTGTATTATGTGTGCGTAGATATGATGAAAACAGTTTATTTGATGCTAACTTTAGAACATGACACACAGATGAACAGTCTTTACAACTCGAGACATGTCCTGATCTTGAGTTTATGCAGATTATTGTAGATAATTAATCAAAAGATACTGCATTTTAAGTATCAGTATTCTGCATAAAATGAATCTGTCTACTTGTAAGTTTGCAAAGTTATTTAAATGTTTAAAAGATCAAAGCTCTATCCAGACAGTTGCGTCTCAAATACAGAACTGATTTAAACAGTTAACATTAACAAAGCAGTAATGAAAACGTCATGCTATAATTCGACTCGTATAATTTAGCAGCGTTTTCATCGACTACACGCTTACAAGTAAGTTTATTGGCTGATCTAAAAGTAATTTTATTGGTTGGGACTGGTTGGCTTTGTTTATTGGTTGGGACTTGTTGGCTTTGTTTATTGGCTGGGACTGGTTAGCTTTGTTTTAGTCTTGTACGTGCCCCGGATATGGAACATGGGTTTTTATCACTGACCTTACTGTGAAACTGAGACGCGTGTGTATTGTACCTATAGGAACACTGTGGACAATGAACAGCAAACAGCTTATCATATGCAATATTGTATCTTAAAGTACACTCAAATAGTTTAACAGTACACTTAACATTCCAATGTGAAGAAGTGTTAAATTAAGGTGACAATTATCTTAAAGCGTACTTTGAGCTCTCCTGTATTTCCATTTCTGCTAGTACTTAAGTTCCACCTATCTTCACCTCTACTCGATAAATTCTACTCCTGTAAATACATTTACCCTCACAGTTTACAGCAGCGTAAAACTTACTGTATGTTGTACTTAGTAATAAACTATAAACTTAATAGTTAACCTCGCCTGCTCTCTATCTACACACGTCAACTTGCTGGACATGTAAAAAGATGTGTCTTGTGTTGCTGTGTGGTTACTAATATTCATTGTGTTACTAACCGGTAAACCGGTTATTTTCTAGTAACTAGCTGGTTAGTGGTTACTCTCTGGTAACTAGCTGGTTACTTTCTAGTTACTAGCTGGTTACTCTCTGGTAGGCGGGGTAGCTGTCCTTATAAAACTTGTTCATTGATGTAAATATCAATATAATACTGTCCTTCAACCTGAATAAGGAGGATAGTTACACGTCGCACTACCCGTATCTTTATAATGTTTAGCGTGATATCAAACAGCAGTGAGTTTATGAAGTTAATATATAAGTTTACTGACTTTTGAAGTTAATATATAAGTTTACTGACTTTTGAAGTTAATATATAAGTTTACTGACTTTTGAAGTTAATATATAAGTTTACTGACTTTTGAAGTTAATATATAAGTTTACTGACTGCTCGATTAGAGCGCAGCTTGAGTTAAACTGTGTTTCTTCAGAAACTCAACGTTCTTCTATTTATGTACGGACAGATCTTAAAGCTCATTTCACGACTTAAACTCTAAATGTGGGAACTTGTTAAATAATAACAACTTACATTTGTCTGTTTGGCCTCCCATTTTAATCCTGTTTAATTCTGCGGTTTTGCAGTTTTAAAATGTTCACAAAATGGAAATTCTCAGTTTATTCTGAAATATTCCAGATGATTTATTTTAAAGATATAAACGGACTTCTAAATTTCACATCTTATTTTCACACATCCTGTATAATTTATGAAACTTTTAAACATCTGATCTCGTGTTCCAGGCAAATCAAGAAAGGTTTTATTTATAGTGTTTATTACTCACAATATCATACACTCGTGGCATTTAGCAAGCGTTACCAATGTTCTGGTAACGTCAGCTAAACGCCAGGAGTGTATAATCACTGTGTACATTGTATGTCATCTTGCATACTTAGATTGAGAGAAAATAACGCAAAACAAGGTTTTATAACATTTCTCTCCAAATTCCACACACTCTCAAATTCACTTACTCGAGTTAATCAGTATACTAACAGTTGTGATTGTAGAAATCAGATCACCAGTTAACACATACCACTTGTAAACAGATCACCAGTTAACACATACCACTTGTTTACTATGTGGTTACTATGGTTATTATTGTTTCTGGCTTTCTGGGCGTTTAAGAATTAAAAAAACTTTCACTCATCTCACAGAATCTCACGTGTTATAATATGTACAATTTCAGTTACAAGATCAGTTAGGAGAGATGAGAAAACAGCAGACATTAATTGAAAAGAGTTACGAGAAACGGTTAACCGACCTCAGAGTACAACACGCTCGTAAGTATTTTATATTGTACTATATTTTAGGAACTTTCCTTGTGTTTTGTAATAAAAATCTTTGCATTTAGAATAGACGCACAATGTTTCGCGCCACGCTATCTAAACTACCTATTTTGTACGATTCATCGACTATTTTCCCGGAGCAATATAATATGTTGTTTCAAAACAAATACTCTGGGATCAAGTATCAATATGATACGTGTAATAATAATATCTGCATCAGTTGTATTTTAAGTACACATTGAAACCGGTTAGAGTGCCACAGTGCAGTCAGCTTTATCTGCCAATACTACTAAACTGTGAACATACTTACGCGGTCATGTTAAAATTATACTGCTTCCTTAGCGAATACGAACATTTTTATCAAGTTAAACTTGTGTGTATAAATTATATTTGCACTATTGACTGACAAGCATGATCCGCTTTTCTACTTGATGAAACTTTCTAAGTTGTTTAGTTTTATAGTACCACTTTATTGCAATCGGCTGATTCTTGAAAGTTGTGGATTTGACGCCAGAAAGTCTTCCTTTGAATTATGATTGTAGAGTTTAAACACTATGGTTACCTTAACACTATCTGTTTCATTGAACGTCAGTTAAGCTTGTTTTACTCTAAACTAGGCTCAATGATATTGCCACCTCTTTTACTGCGGTGTAAACAATCACTGTTAAATACACATTAACAGCCGCTTTATATAATTAACAAATACGAGGTTTTTATATCGATAAGATTGGCTTAGGATGTACAGGGTAGTAGTAGTAGAGACAGGGTAGCTGTATTTACAAAAATGTAAGTAATTACACATTAGCTCTCAGCTCAGCTCTGTCGTTTAATATATATTATAATTAAGGGAAACCGTATTGTTATTATAATGGTCTATCAAGAACTAATTAGTTAATGAGATAGTTTGATAACTGATAGTGTAAACATTTAGCACGTGATCAGATGTGTGCTCCTTGTTTATTGATGGTTGGTTCTCCTCAGCTCTTCACAAATCATTGTTATTGCTGTGCCACTGCACCCATGACACCCAAACTGCACTGCAATCTTTGACCAGTAAAGCCAACTTCTGAACAACTATTCACAATTTATTTTATTTCTAAGAAGAGTCACACTCTGATGCCATTCCATTCCCAATTCAACAAGTCCTTAGCCTTCTGAATTATAACGTCTCCTTATTTAGTAATATAATGTTACAGACATTAACATGTGAAAAAGAGAATCAGCTGTCTCTCCATTCTGAGCATACACTTGGTAATTGAATTGTGAGAGGGTTGGTAAGTTAGCATGTCCCGTTAGATGGTGGAAACTCAATCATGTGCCATCCTTATTGAGTTATGAACCAATTTAGTAATTTCTACATTCGTAACTTAGTTACAGGGTCCTATCGAGTGCCTTTCTTTAGTGGAATTAGCCTTCTAAATGCATTTCATCTGTCTAGAAATCCAACTATTTTACGATGAGAAATATTTTGACTGGAATTTTCTCGTTATAAATTCTTTCAAGTCTTACCCTAACTTAGTCAATCAAGGTCAACATCTCTCCTATAACAGCAGGATGTCATAAAAATAAAGGAGAATAAAGGAGGCATCCGCTGTGTCCTGTGAAGCTGTGAATGACCAGCAAATCAGTGACTTGGATCGTAAAGTAATGAAATGTCCGCTCCAGTATATGATTTAATTATCAAGCATATTCTTTGTTCATAGCGCATCCAGGCCAATCACAAAACAGGTCTTTTGTTTCTATCTGCAAATTGCTACAGAAATGTCAATTTCTTCAGTGTTGTGTAGCGCGCCAATGATACTTTTATCGATTTATGGCGCACACGCACGAACTTATTGTCGCTCGCGCGTAACATGACATGCGCGATTTAATTTGGTAATCAGTAGATGTTTTCTTCTCAAGATGTGGGTACGTATGTCGCTTTTCAAAACTATGGTTATGCGCAAAAAGGTAGGTGCGTGCGCGAGTTTACATAAATAATACTGTCAGGAGAAGACTACCTGGAGAAGGCCTTGTATTGTATGCATATTGATTATTCTTTATGGTTCCTGAAAAATAGATATAGGCTAGAATTTTCACCCATGATATTGATGGGAAATACCTTTAATAAACAGGTAACGAACAGTGCTTTATTGAGAGAAGTTTCACCAATACAATCAACAATGATAGATCTCCACCACTCAGGATATACTAGATACTGCCATAGTGCATATGTATTACTATCATGCTTGGGAACCATGCCACAAGATGAAGATGATATGGTCCGGTAACGGTAAAAATGGTCCGGTTACGGTCGAAATCTCAAGGTACTGTTCCTGGCTACAGGCTCTCGCCTCTCATATTGAAATTAGTAATGAAAAGTTAAGTGGTCAAACTGGTTTTGGTGAAGGATGTAGATTTAAGAATGTGGGATGTGAATGTTTTGAATTGATCCGCTGCTTTAACTGGTTCCATGGAACACCGTAGTTACTAACTGAAAGTGATGAATCTAGGAATAAAGTTCCGAGCCGATTTCTTCATTTAAAGTTTGAAAAAAATCTCTTCAACTGTAGAACTGACTTATTAATCCTAGCAGGTAATTAACTCTGGATCCTCATCACATTGATTCCATTCTGAAATTCTAACCATAAACAAAAAACATTAACAGATAACTCCGTTTACCATTTGACATATTCCAGTGTGAACGAGGCCTTCCCCGGACAAAACCTTGAAGGCAAGTCTTCTCTAGCTGAAGTCCGAACACTATAATTTATCTGATAAAGTGTATTACTAAGGTGCTCTGCTGATAATTGTAGTAAAGTAATCAATAAATGCCAAAAAATGACCTCTGACGAGGCTCGATCAGCGATGAGCTAGTTCACTCAAGCGGCCTTAGCCACAATGCTACGAGGGGCTCAGCAGATTTACAATATGTAACTCTATAAAACTATATAAAAATACGCGCACGCAAGTAACTTTTCGTTATTTATGGATCCGAATAAAAGCGACATACCCACAATTCTGAGAAATAAACCTCGCGCGACATAAAGCGACATAATCGCAATTTCGCCCACACATTTGCTAGAACACCTCCTCTTGGTAATCGATCATTATCGTCAATCAATTGCCACACTACCGTTTTTTCAATCAAATGCAATTGCTAAGTCTCAACTTCAAAGTAGATTGAAATCATGGCTTGTAAGAGATTAATTTTGTCGCATACTTCTAATTTTCGCATCGTTATTTGACAGAAATCTAAATTTCATTCTTTAGATTACTTAGACACACGTTGCAACCCCTATTCGCGCGAAAGGTCGGCCGGCCGGAGTGCACGCTTCGCGTGCACGAGAGAGGTATACAACGTGTGGCAATGATTACATAAACATACATCTGATTTTCAGGAACGAACGACTCCTTGAGCAAAACTCATTTTTCTCAAGAGCAGTTGCTTGGGAACACTGTTCTGCAGCTCCAGGAAGAAAACATCCAGTTACGAGAGCAGGTGTCTTTAGCCAACAATCGTACAATGATTATATCAAGCGACGACGTAAGTTAATGAGTTGAGACTTGAGAGTTGCCCTAACTGAATTATTGGGTTGATAAAAGTCAAACTATATGTACTTGCAGCTGAGTAGTTGAATTCTTCACACTTGTCTAGGCTAGATAATGATGTACGTGGGCATAATATTGAATTGTGTTTCATTTCATTAAGATGTTCGTTTTTATTGCAATTGAATCATGAGATTTAGTGTAGGTCATTTCTCTTTATCTGCGTCTTCCCACTCAAATGAGTTAGTGAATAGAACAGCAAATTTTTCTCAATTTCAGAGCGACGATTTTAATCAATCCGGTTTCTGCTGCGCACCAGGAGTAAGGAAAAAGAAAAAGAAAAAGAAGAAAAAAGGTAAATCAGACGATATTCCGAACCCTTACGGTCTTCATTCGAGCGAGAAACAGGCCGCTTTCTGGAACGGCAATAATGGCAACCCCACTGGATCAGAGATATGAACATTTTATTTCTGTGCCTTTTTATGCCTACAAAGTACAATGTACATTGTGAAAGAGTGAGTGGTTCCCTGTGGACAAGTGTTATAGTAGTGGGTTTATGTCAGAGCTCGATAAGATTAAGTAAATTCCTGTTTCCCTGTGCACCACCTTGTGGAATTCAGGTGTTACATGAAAGTGTTTCAGTGGTGACAGTTCTTAACCAATCAAGTTGCAAACCAGGCACCATGACCAGCCGCAAAATAAATTTGGTTCGTTCTACCTTACCTCAACCGTCTTATTATACTGTTGAACTTATTCAGATTTTTATTCCTTTTTGCTCGAATATTGCCCGTCGGACTAAAGTTAGAGCTATTATGCAACCATTGAGTGGAGTAGATAGTTGGATCACTGTAACTTTTCATGTTCAGGAATTTTTAAGGCTATTATCGAACTGCCATTTCTCTTTAGATGTACAGTGAATGTTTATATGATTGCTACTCTTGTTTTAACTTTAATGTTTGTTTGCATTTTAGTTTGTCTTGCTGAACTGTGTCTGAGATTCCAAATACACATTCTTTTATATGACCCACTTAGGCTGTAATATGTGTATTTTTAACGTCAAAGTGATTTCATTAAGTCGGATACACAGAGTTACTTTTTATTGTTATTATCGATATCGAAACGTGTGCTAGCTCATGATTTAATAATAGGGCCGTTTCATGTATATGATATTATTTTGTTGGGTAAAATTTACTTAAAAGCCTGTCGTGGCATATTTATTCGATAGGTTCATGTGAATCTTTGGACAGATGTATTTAAATCAAATTGAAATAATTTTATCAGAATATATTATATATATAGGAATATTATCAGAACATTATAATATATTATCTTAGAATCGCATTAAAATCGTAGTATGAACATTATTTCAATTCAACCGCAATGGTCGTATTTCAATACAATATGATCTAAAAAGCTTAACTTTAAAGTTTAAATGCGCATTTTTATTACACATTAACTTTCAATACATGATACATTTTGATCATGTTTTTACAACTATTATGAAATGAAATGAAATGAAATGAAATGAGGTATTTATATCCCGCTCATATGATTAACCAACAACACAAGGAAGGTGGTTAACCATGTCAGAGCGGCTGACTGTGAGTGATGTGAGCAAATGTGTAAAAATGAACAAGATTATAACGTAATATTAATATAAGACCAAGACAAAATTAAAACATCTTTTATTTTAAACCACACTAAACTAAAAAGAAGCAGAGACCATACAATACATGTAGGTATAATAAAGGTTAGTACAGTGACAAAGAAAGGTAGAGAACTTAGACATAAAATGGAGTGCGGTAAGAGATAAAAGCCAAGGTGTCTTGCAAAATGAAGACAAATGGAACGAAAAAACATCAAAACTGATTATATAAATGGTTCTTTAACATTCGCTTGAAGCAGTTGGTATCAGTAATACATCTCAACATCAGTGGAAGAGAGTTCCATGCAATCGGTGCATGGCTTGAGAAACGTCTGTCATCAACTTTGGACTTTTTATTCTTTGGTACCTTGAGCATGAGATGGTCACCACTCACCAGGTCTCTTCGACCTGGTCATGGTCATGGTGTTTGAGAGTTCTTTATCCGCTATATCCAAATCCAGTAGTGCTTTGAGGTAATCAGGTGCAGTACCGTGAACTGATTTGTGGGTTAATAGACAAACTTTAAAGAATATTCGTTGGTCTATAGGGAGTATGTGGGCCTTCTTATAGAAGGGAACCAAGTCCGTGGTTCTGTCTTCTATGTTATAGATGAAACGAACTGCCCCATTAAGGGTGGATCTAAGTTTGTTTAGTCTGGTCTTGGGTAGATTCATGTATAGAGAATTACAGTAATCTAACTTAGATATAACCAGTTGTTTCACCAACATCAATTTAATGCCTTCATCCAGGTAACGACCAATAGTTCTTAGGTTCATCATTGTCCAGCTACATTTCCTTTTGACATTATTGATCTGTCTTTCCATATTTAAAGTTTCATCAAATTTGACACCCAGACTCTTCCAGCTGTCTCCTTTGCACTCCCAAGAGTGATCCCTGGGGAACTCCAAACAAAAGCTCCAAGAAAGAAGAAAGAGTATCATCAATCTTGACACAGAAATGTCTTTTCTCAAGGTAGGACTTTATCCATTGCAGCGCACTTCCAGTAATTCCATAGTCTTTCATAAGCTTTTCCAATAAGACTGTGTGGTCAATGGTATCAAATGCTGCACTTAAGTCAAGAAGTACAACTATGACAACATTCCCAGCTTAAATTTCTTTGTTAAGATCATCACACATTCTTACAAGTAATGTTTCACAGCTGTGATTAGGGCGGTATCCAGATTGGACTTCTGAGTAAAGGCTATGATTCGTAAGATGGACATTGAGCTGGTTTAGTACAATTCTCTCTAGGATCTTAGAGAAGGCAGAGAGGTTAGAGACTGGTCGATAGTTACTGAGAATATCAACATCAGCATTTTCCTTTTTCAAAGTCGGCTTAATGACAGCTTTCTTCATATCCGAGGGAAAGACTCCAGTCTTCAAGGATGAGTTCAATACGTGGAGTAAAAAAGGCGTTAGTTCATCAACACAGTTTTTTAAGAGAAATGCTGGGATCGGATCCAAGCAGCAGAACTTGTTGGACATCTTTGATACCAGGTCTTTGAGTTCATCAGCTGTTATCTCAGAGAAATTATCAAAGATGCAGTCTTTATCAAGAACATGATCTTTGTCTTTGTCTTTGTCTTTGTCTTTGTCTTTGTCTCTGTCTTTGTCTTTGTCTATATCTTTGTCTTTGTCTTTGTCTTTGTCTTTGTCTTTGTCTTTGTCTTTGTCTATATCTTTGTCTTTGTCTTTGTCTTTGTCTTTGTCTTTGTCTTTGTCTATATCTTTGTCTTTGTCTTTGTCTTTGTCTTTGTCTTTGTCTTTGTCAGAATCTTTTCCTTCCTTCTCAATGGCTTGTCTGATGGTCGCAACCTTTTCAGCGAAGAAATCTTTGAAATCTTCTGACAGTTTTACAGGATCCTTGTAATTTGGAAGGTTTTGGGTGTCATTTCCTAAAAGCCTGTTGACTTTTCTGTACAACGCTTTAGTATCCCCCGAAGAGGACCTAAGAGAGGTTTTGTGGTGAGCACATCTTTTGACAAACTCTATTCAATCATAGAGAGATTCCAGACTGACTGTGCCAGATCGCAGAATCAAAGCGAATTTAATAAGCTTTTCATTTTCATCGTTTAGCAAGTGAGATATTATCTGTGTAGACTGATGTGGTTTTGGGTGTGCATCTTACCCGGCGTCAGTGCAAATAGTTTCATCATTCATGCTGGTATACTACCTGGGGCGCCATCCTCTCTGATTCTAGAGTGGGGAGAGAAGCGAGCCATAGACCAGCAAGCTGGGTAAGCTGGTATATGACTCACTCCTCTCTGGAAAAGAAAAGCGAAACGAATGCGTGCAGAGGGCATGGCGCGCCAGGTGAAGCAAGAATAAGAAATATTAAACTGAGTTGATATTTTTATGATGCAACCATCACTTTATGGTGCTGTGTATATATATTAGATCGTCAAACATGAACTATGAATTAGTGCTATAAACAGCGTGTTTTCTTTTATTAAATTGATGGATTAAATGAAAGAGCATGAAAAGATTGAAGTAATTTAAAGTTCTTAAATTCGATCAATTGATACAAAATTACATATTAGTATTACTAATACTATAATAATACTATACTAAAAAATGCTATTTTAAATTGATCTGAACTACATGCAAGCCATATTATTTCTGATTTAAACTGCGTTTTTCATTTACGAACATTATTCTCTATTTATTTATGAACATTGAATAAATAGCCTGGGTCCCCAGGTCACAGGTAAGACCGGTGCGGCTAAATTAACTGTCAATTCAATTGTGGCCGTACAAATTTAGGCTGATCATCAAGTAACTACAAAACATAATTGCAGTACTTACTGAGTACAATTGTTTAAAATATTCTGCAAACTTTGAGTATCGTGAAAATCCCCTTAGACTTTCCAATAAATTGTTTTGCAAGTTCTATAACTCTTTTTGTCAGCAGTCTCTGGATGCCTAGTTTATATAAGTCTCTAAATAGTCTCTATGTTAGTTTCAAGTTCCTAATCAGTTTCTTTAACCATTAACTCTGCTAGTACATAATACTAGCGGTAATAAAGTCAGCAAAATTGACTTTATATTTTGTGTCTAAACGCTTGACTTCCTCATAAATATCAGCATAAAATGGGTTTTTCTTGATGTACTTTATTTTGTTCGACCAGATAGGTGGGCTGCTCGGTTTGGTCATCTGCCATCGGAACATCAGAGATCTGAACAATGAGACTCTTGAAGGCTCGTCGTGGAACTCTCCCACTCCAAACTTCAAACCCCAGGTCTGTGCGTAGCTACTAGCATGGTCAACAGCATGTACGATGATGTGATAGAACAGTGGATCAAGCAGCTCATTTGGGAGACCTGTATGGGAGAGAGACTTCTCTACTGCCATCCTGCACTCTGTGAGATATCTTACAAAGGACAGACTTCCCTCAACAATCCCTTGTGAGAGGTCCTTGAAGGTGCATGATGGCTTCAGAGTTTCCGCAATCAAGCTTTCTCTGGTGATTTCGACTGAGTACACTCGAGTTATAAACCTGTGAATCCACGGTTTTTCCGTTCGCGTCCTCATATCGGTAACGGGACTTGTTGGACTTCTTGTGAGTGCGTTGTGAAGAGGAAGCGACGTCTTGGTTGATGGTAGTAAGGCTGAAATATTGTTATCAACAATGTACTTGGTCAGACTGTTCGAATAAAGGTGAAATTTAGGATGTGCACTCGCCGTGTGGTAGAAGAAGATGGCTTCCATCATCAGACATCTGTTTGTTATCTTCTCCCCATTCAAATAGAATGCCTCTATTGTAGCTCTTCCTCTGGCATCCTTCTTGAACACAATCTTTATACTCTTCACAGTTGCCGACGAAAAACAGGACCTCAGCTTGCAGTCTTTGACTTCAAACGTACTCCCTTCAGCTCCAGAATTCACTAACAACGCCATTGTTGTGTTTTCCAGGTAGTCGACTATATCGTCATCGGTTGGCTCTTTGAGAATGAAGAGGTAGATGATGAAGTTGTAGATCAATCCAACCACAAGTTTAGCTATCATCCATGGTGTTTGGAAAATTGTGTGTTCCCAGAATATCCACTTGTATTTCTCCTCGAAGCCACAGTTGACAATGGACCTTTTGATTAGCTGGCCCATTGATTACTTTTGCAGGTCTAAGAATATGATAAAAAGTTTAAAGCATAAAGACAATATTTTCACGAAAATAAACAGTGATAGAACTTAGAAGTGATCAGTGAATTGGCTTTTTAAAATACCAGATACTTTAATTCGGTAATCTGTTGGTTTAAGGCACAGATAACAAACAAGGGTTATATAAGCAATAAGGCATGGGCACTTAGGGAAATTCGAGGCACGGTTAAGGGGGGGGGCCAATGGATATTTTTTGTGAAACTTGATTTCGAGATAGCAGTTGACCAACAAACTACGACCAGTGACCGAACTTTTAAGGGGGTCCCGGACCCCAACCGCCAAACAGTGCGCGCAGGGCAGCCACGCCCATATTTGGTCCAAATTAGGCCCAATTTAGCAAAATACCCTGAACATGCCCAAAACCCAGGTTTATGGTGCTCTTCTTGTAGCTAGTGATCTCCTGAACTCGTATATGAAATTTCATCAAGATTGGACAAAAAATGACTGAGTTATGAGCCAAAAACCATATGCCCATATTTGGGCATACGCACCAAATTTGCTAGATTTCGTCCCATAAATTGGTCAAATATCAATATTTTTGAATGAGACTTACTTTTCATGAAAGGTAAGCCTAAACTACATATTCTCTGTAAGTTATAGCTTTATATCTGTTTAAATGTGGATACTAAGGCGGAAAAACCACAAAAAATGAACTAAATTGCCTGTATCTTGGTTCGCGATATTCGCGGAATTGATCTCATTAAAATTGTAACAACTCAATTAGTTTTCAAATTTTTTGCATGAAATTTTCGGAATCGACTTGAAATTGTATTTCGACCTTATTTTGAGAACAGATTTTTGATTTAGGCCTCCAAAAAAATTTGGCGGCCAAATTCCAAAATTATCTCACAAAAATTCAGAATTTGGCCGCCAAATTTTTTTGGAGGTCTAAATCAAAAATCTGTTCTCAAAATAAGTTTGAAATACGATTTCGAGTCGATTCCGACAATTTCATGCAAAAATTTTGAAAACTGATTGAGTTGTTACAATTTTAATGAGATCAATTCCGCGAATATCGCGAACCAAGATACTGGCAATTTAGTTCATTTTTTGTGGTTTTTCCGCCTTAGTATCCACATTTAAACAGATATAAAGCTATAACTTACAGAGAATATGTAGTCTAGGCTTACCTTTCATAAAAAGTAAATCTCATTCAAAAATATTGATATTTGACCAATTTATGGGACGAAATCTAGCAAATTTTTTATCTGCAAAAA